AATTCATTTATATTATGAGAAAAAATTGAGAATTTATGAGAGACCATTAAAGGATATCTAAGATAACAATTTAACTCATTTTCCTCTTTTTCACAAAAGCGTATTTTCCTTGTAAGACAACTTTAAGTTGAAACTAAGTATCAAAGTGTGATTTCTAAGAATGACATCTAGTATTTGAATTTTAAACACAGATAGTCATGTATAATTAGACTAATAATATTAACTCTAAAAAATTATTTTAAGTCAATATTTTAGTGAGTTAAGTATTTGTATTGTGAAAAAATAATGCCTAACCTTTGAAACTGCTACAAGACATACTCTTGATTTGAAAGGAGTTGGGAATGAGATTGAAAAAATACAGTTTTTCACTTTATGAACTAATTTCTTTAACACGATCAACAGGCAACATAGCTGATAAAATAAAACATCTTTCTTAATGTTCTCATTTGTTACATATACAACACTAATATCCCTTAGAAAGCCTATGGTTCTTCAAGAAACCCAAGTCACTATTTTCTTCATGCTTTGTTATTTAAAGGCTACTTTGTCATTTCAACATGACCTAGCCAACATGCATTTAGGACAGTACGTCATGGAACTGTTCAAGAGGCTAGGGAATGGAAAAAGTTTAAAACGGGAAGACACATACCCTGTCTTCAAAGATCTTCACTCACGGAAGGTAAATCAGAGAGACAGAGATATATATATTCTTTTTAAAATGGAGTTTCTCTCTTGTTGCTCAGGCTAGAGTGCAATGGCGTGATCACGGCTCACGGCAACCTCCACCTCCCAGGTTCAAGCAATTCTCCTGCCTCAGCCTCCCAAGTAGCTGGGATTACAGGCATATGCCACCATGCCCGGCTAATTTTGTATTTTTAGTAGAGATGGGGTTTTACCATGTTGGTCAGGCTAGTCTCAAACTCCTGACCTCAGGCGATCCGCCCACCTCAGCCTCCCAAAGTGCTGGGATTACAGGCATGAGCCACTGCACCCAGCCCAAAAATATATATTTTTAAATGGAGGTGAGCGGCATTACAGAATTACAAGTATAGTACTAGTTAATTCAATGGAACCAAAATCCATTAGGCACATAATCACAGGCATTCTGCCCTTTGGAAACACAATTAGCAAAAGGAAACAGGTATAGAAGATACACAAATAATTTAAGACCGGGTAATACATGCCTTACTAGATGCATAAAACTGCTGTAGATCCCACATTTGATAGATGCCCACCCACAAAGCTGAAAGTTTAGAAATTGCCTCTGCAGAGACAAACCATGTCTCAGGAAGTCCATACACTGAAACATATGTACCGTATTTTCAAAGCTGTAGAGGAAAAGAAAGCTTTGAACACGCTTTAGATTCTCAGAATGTATTTACTCTTATTTTATAAACAATACCTAAACTCGTAATCTGTTTTTCCAATCCAAAGCATTGAAACAGAAAAAAAATAAAATAAAATAAAAGAGAGTAGGTGTATTAATAAAACTTTAAGACGAAGAGACAAAAATCCTGTTTCTGGATAGAGATTTATTGTCAAAATGTGTCACTAAATTATTTAATAAACATAATGGGAATCCAATTAATAGCCTAGCAGGATTTTTTTTGAAGAAATAGACAATCTTAGTGTGTAAATCTGAAAAAATAAACAGATAAATTTTTTAAGCAAGATAAACATGTTTGCTTATATTAAAAATTAAAAGAATACAATAAAAAATATTGCTATTCTAAAAATAGATGCAAAGATCAATGGAACTCAATAAAAAGCACAGAAACTACAAAAAGCTGTAAAATAATTTCCTATATAGTGAAAATAACATTTCAAATCACTGGAGAAAGGTAGCATCAGGACAATTTGCTCCCATGTGTGGAGTAACGCCAATTTATTCCATCCAGGCTTAAGTGAACTAAATGTCAGTTACAACAGCAATTTTCTAGCTTCCTCAAATGAGTAATAAAAACAGGCTAACATGGGCCATATGGGCCATATTTAGCCCTTCATATGTTCCCTTAAGACCATGATGTATTATAAGGTAGCATCCTGGGGGAATAAACGTGTAGTCAATCAAAAAGTGGCAGATTTTAGCATTCACACCAGAAAACTGGACAATATGATTATAAGTGGAAGAACCAACAGTATATTTTCTTCTTTTGTGGGAGAGCCTTTGTGTGGAATTAACTAGATTATATAATTAGCACAATCTCCTTTATGATGATCTAACATTGGTAGGGCAGGGGCAGCATATCACGTTCCATTAGTAGGTATCATGTTGTTACCGCTTGATGCATGTCCTGGCAAGACAGCTGCTGGTCAATACATGTGATCACCAGCCATGGAACAAAGAAGGCTATTTCAGGCATATTCAATCCTCACTCATTTGATGCTTTAACAAGCTAATAAGTCATAGACTAAAAACCCCAGAGAAAATTCCAAAAGCATACTAACCCCCTATCTTAAGATCTCAGGAAAATCAGTACTGGCAACATTAAATTCTTTAGAATTCAGTTTTGCACAAGGCTATGAAATCCACAAAAACTAACAACAACAACAAAAAAAAAGTGAGTGAAACTAGCTTTCACTGCAAGTGTTTGAACCTTTTCTCTCAATAAATGTGCTTACCAGAGTATGATAATTTGGATAATTCATTGATCATTTATTTAGTAACAACAGGATGAGATGTTTCACACAGTACTGTAAATCAAGACACAGTAACACATATGATTATTTATTTATTTATTTGTTATTTATTTATTTATTTGGAGACAGTGTCCCACTCTTTCATCCAGGCTGGAGTGCAGTGGCATGATCACAACTCACTGTAGCCTCGAACTCTCCAACTTCTGGGCTCAAGCAAACTTCCCCGCCTCAGGCTCCTGAGTAGCTAGGGCTACAGGCACACACCACCACACCTGGCTAATTTTATTTTTTGTAGAGACAGGGTCTTGCTTATATTACCCAAACTGGTTTCGACATCCTGACCTGTTTCGACAATCCTGCCACCTCGGCCTCCCAAAGTGCTGTGATAACAGGCATGACCCACTCTGTCTGACCTGGTATTATATTTACAATCTCTTTGGCTATAAAACCTGGTCCTATTGTAGATATTATGTTTTAAATAGTATCATCAATATGGCAAGAAAATGTCTTCGTGGGTACCTAATACTCCAACATCAAAACGACAGCCTTGATCACTTTCAGTTACACATAGGCCATTTTGTTCCATCTGTACTGGCTCTTACATTTGTCTAAGGGCAGCAAAATAGACTAAAGAAGTCTGTTCTTTAGCAGTTACCTGCACAACTCAGATAATGTTTTTAACTTCCTCAACTCATGCTTGGCCTAGCTGGGTTAAATGAATTCCGCATGTCCAATTGGTAGGTTACTGTTTTTTCTCAAGAGTTTAGCTATACAGTAATGTTGGAAGTCTTGAGGAACTTCATTTGCTTTCCCTACTTAGCCTTGCAATACTACAGCATCCTTTTTTCTCTTTATTAAAAGACAGAGTCTCACTTTGTTACCTAGGGAGAAGTGCAGTAGCACAATCTTGGCTCACTGCAACCTCTGCCTCCCAGGTTCAACTGATTCTCCTGCCTTAGCCTCTCAAGTAGCTGGGATTATAGAACTTGCACCACCATGCCCAGCTAATTTTTGCATTTTTAGTAGAGATGGGTTTCATCATGTTGGCCAGGCAGGTCTCAAATTCCTGATCTCAAGTGATCCACCTGCCTCAGCCTCCCACAGTGCTGGGATGACAGGCTGAGCCAATGCACCCAACCTACAGCATCTTTTTAAGAGCAATGTTGTCTGTTTTAATGTGGTCAAGCAATCTGTAAATGAACATGGTCTAACAAAATTGTGTAGTGCCATACTTGTCAACTGTGTGAGCTTGAATGTGATACTTATTTGACAATACGGTATTTTCTCTATATGTTTCCTTATCTTTATATACAAAAAAGGGCAAATGACAATGTCTTAGTTATAGGATTGTCAAGTACAACCTGAGTGCTTATTGCCACACTCTACTTGGCAAGTTCTACCTGTGGGATGTTTCTTAATATATAAACCTAATCTATACCAAGATAATCTACAGGTGCATATTAACATTTACTCGTAAAGCACTTTGCATATTTTTACATGCCATTCTTCAAGATGAAAAAAACCCATCAAACTGGCTTATTTTTATAGATGTCTTTATACAGTCTATGATGTCTTCATTCCATAAAAACCCACACGACTAAATATGAAATTAATGTACCCAGCTATGAGGCTACCGCATTCTTTAACGCAAGAAGAATGAGAAAATACATGAATCAGGGAACTGCAATTACCTATTTGCTGGACTATTTCCTCATTAGAGTGAATTTTTTGAGTACTAAATTGCATTTCCGTATCTCTAATGCTTACCCTCTATCTCACTGGCTCTGTGTGTTTGAGTGCATGCACCGAATGCTTAACTATATCACTTAATTTCTGTTAGAAACACGCTATCTCTTAGCACCAGTAGATCTGGCCTTAGAGCTAAGGAAAAAAGGTATTTCTAACCCATGAGGGGTACTAATCCTGTAAAGACTCCAGTATCTCCCGGGCTGGGTACACGCAGGTTCACACCCATGTGTGAGCAAGATTGCCAAACTATACCTACAAGGCAAAAAGTCAAAAGTCAAGACACCAGGCTACTTTAGCTCCTATTTCACAACAGCCCTGATAGTGGTCGACATGTTCCTAGGAAGATGCGATGGGCTGGAACTTCCTTCAAGAACAGATTGCAAAGGCAGCCGACCATAGCGTGGCGGAAACCGTCGCCTCTGGCTTAGGCTGCGGAGCGGGAACCCGATTTTCTGAGTTATGTTTCTGCCTAAACACGCAGAACAAGAGTTAGTGACTGCAAGAGTCGCGCGCGGTGCTATTTCTTGCTAATAAAAGGTCCCCACAGGGACATTTTGCTATGACTGGAGGCGTGGCCAGTCCCCCTGCACGGCTTCCGGGAAGGGGTGGGGATAGGAGGCTTGCCCCGGGGAAGGTCACGCCCGGGGTCCCCAGACCGGGTCTACGCGCGCCCCTGCCCCGCTGCCTCCCGGGAGCGGCCGCGGTCCCCGCTGGCTGCGGAGTGGCAGGTACCCGAGGTCCCGGCGCTGGCAGCCGGGCCATACGCGGGGAGGAGCGAACCGCGGGCCCGGCTGTGGCCGAAGCGCTTCCTGTGCCAGGTTTCCGGCTCCGGGTCCCTGGAGGAGGATCGCGGACCAGAGGCGGAGCCGCCGTCCTGCCGCGACTTTCAGACTCCGACCATGGCCTCCCGCTGGTGGCGGTGGCTGCGCGGCTGCTCCTGGAGGCCGGCGGCGCGGAGCCCCGGGCCCGGCTGCCCCGGCCTTGCGGGACCGCGGGGGCCGCAGGCAGCTGCGGACGCCCACGCGCAGGTGAGGTTGGGAGGCGCGCGCCCGGCGGGGCTCAGAGGTCACGGCTCCAATGACAGCGGCGGGCGGAATGAATGGGAGCAGGGAGCACGTGCATCGCGACGCGGGGGCGCACAGGGTAGCTCCGGGGTGGGACTCCAGAGCGGAGGGGTGCCCGCGGTATGACGGAGCCGAGCGTTGGATTGAAGTAGGGGCGCCCTACACGGGGTTGCAGAAAGCGGTGTCTTGGGCATCCCGGGAGCGTTTGGGGCAGTGGAAAAAGCGGTGGTAGCCGGGTCCTGGGGGAAGCGCGGGAGCGATCAGATTGACTGCTGCGATATGGACAAGGTTAAGCCTGGAGAGCGGCTGCAGCTATTTACTTTCGAGTTAGAGGAAGACAGATCTTGCCTGAAATTTTAGAGTCAGAGGTGCTCAGAGCTGTCTCCGAGAAACGGAGGATCAAATCGGCCTCGGAATAGTCCGAAAAGGTCTTGTGGAGAATGCAGGGCTGGTGCTAGGGTGGACCGGACCTTAGGTGTCCAGCAGTGGCTTCCGGAGGAGAGCATACCTGGATGGGGCTGGAATGGCACTGGAAGGAGAAAGGCCCGAGGCCGTCAGGAGGAGAGAAACCCTGGAGTCCTCTAAAGTCAGAGTCTCAGCGATAGCCCATTCTCTCAGGGTCTCCTCTGCTGCCTTTGGGTTCCAATCTCCTTTTTCTCCACTTCTGGTTAGTTTAGCCCCTGTGAGCCCTTCTGCACTTTGTGATGATTCTCAGTGTGCCATGGGGTAGGCCCATGCTATTAGCATAACCGTACAAAATCTGTGGACTCATTGTTATTTAAGTTTATTTGAATTTAGTACTCTTTAAATTCAGATTTTGTGTCCGTGTTCTCATCAAACATAATTTCCCAGTATGAAATATATAACACTTATAAATATCTACTTTGTACCAAAGTGGATGCATATCACAAATTATCCAAAACGAGGCTTGGGCCAGGTGCAGTGGCTCACACCTGTAATCCCAGCGCTTTGGGAGGCTGAGGTGGAAGAATCGGTTGAGGCCAGGAGTTTGGGACCAACCTAGGCAACATAGCGAGACTCTGTCTCTACAAAATATGGAAAAAAATCACCGGGTGTGGTGGTGCATGCCTGTAGTCCCAGCTACTCAGGAGCCTGAGGGAGGAGGATCGTTCGATTTCAGGAGTTCAAGATTACAGTGAGCTATTTATTATGATAGTGCCAATGCACTCCAGCCTGGGCAACAGTGTGAGACCCTATCTCTAAAAAATCAAAAGCAAAAAAGACATTTGGAGACCAAATGGCAGCTGGGCAACTAGACAAGGCTAGACAGTAAAGAGAACAGAATGGGGGGGGGGGTGAGGGGCACGTGGAAAAAGAGGCTTAAAGGAGGCTTTGCTGGGATCCATTTCAGGACTGTTCTCTCCAGACTTCAGATATTTCTAGTTCCACAGATGAGGCCAGTATTTGAAGAGATGGGTGCATCCACCCTCTTATGCCACTACATGCTTTTTTTTTTTTTTTTTTTTTTTGGACACAGAGTCTCACTCTGTCTCCCAGGCTGGAGTGCAGTGGCGGAATCTGGGCTCACTGCAACCTCCACCTCCCAGGTTCAAGCAATTCTCCTGCCTCAGACTCCCAAGTAGCTGAGATTACAGGCGTACAGCACTAGGCCCAGCTAATTTTTGTATTTTTAGTAGAGATGGGGTTTCACCGTGTTGCCCAGGCTGGTCTGGAACTCCTGACCTCAAGTGATCCACCCCCCTCAGCCTCCCAAAGTGCTGGAATTATAGGCATGAGCCACCACACCTGGCTTGACACTTCTTTTGAAAAAAATTTCATGCCCACCAAGCAACTTTAGCCAGGGAAAGTGTGCTTTTCTGGAGAGAATATGCTTTATGGCCTTCCTGTCTGCCCGAATGATGACAAGGAGGGATTGTGTGGACTCGTGATGCCAAGACCATGTATTTCTGATGTGTGTGTGTCAGTGATGCTTTTCACTGTACGTTAATATGTTAGCATTCTGGTGTCTGCCTCAAGCATGTATGTTTTGGTTTCTTCAGGGCCTGATAGTCCTTGGGGACACAGAACTACAATAACTAAGCCACAGGGACAAATAGCAGCAATAATTAAGCCAAGTCTTGCTCTCCACCAGAGCTCTACTACCTCCTAATGGTTGTACATTCTCCTGACTTCACTAGAAGTGTGAACAAATACTGTAATAGGATAAAAACCAGTGTGCATGTGATCATGCCAAATCACTTCTCAGTATATCTTTGATTTTTTTTTTTTAATTTTTTTTTTTAGGGATGGGGACTTTCTGTGTTGACCAGGTTGGTCTTGAACTCTTGGACTCAAGCAATCCCCCATGCTTGAGGATTGGCACACGGCTATGTCTTTGATTCTTACCTAGCACTTTCTCTTTGGCTGAGTGTGGTGACTCACGCCTGTAATCCCAACACTTTGGGAGGTTGAGACAGGAGCATTGCTTTTGCTCAGGAGTTCGAGACCAGCCTGGGCAACTTAGTGAGACCTCCTGATATGGTTTGGCTCTGTGTCCCCACCCACATCTATCTCAAATTGTAATCCCCAGTTACAACTGGGGGCCAGGGAGGGTCAAGGGAGAGACCAGGTAGAGGTAATTGGATCATGGGGGTGGATTTCCCCATGCTGTTCTCATGATAGGGAGTTCTCACAAGATCTGATGGTTTTATAAATGTTTGGTAGTTCCTCTTGTGTTCATTCTCTCTCCCGCTGCCTTGTGAAGAAGGTGCTTGTTTCTCCTCCTTCCCCATGATTATAAGTTTCTGAGGCCTCCCCAGCCATCCAGAACTGTGAGTCAGTTAAACCTCTTTCCTATAATTATAAATTGCCCAGTCATGGGTAATTTCTTTATAGCAGTGTGAGAACGGACCAATACAGATAATCGGTACCAAAGTAGTCGGCATTGGTATAAGACACCTGAGAATGTGGAAATTACTTTGGAACTGGGTAACAAGCAGAGGTTGGAATAGTTTGGAGGGCTCAGAAGAAGAAAGGAAGATGCAGGAAAGTTTGGAACTTCCTAGAGACTTGTTGAATGGCTTTGACCAAAATGCTGAAAGTGATACGGACAATGAAGTCCAGGCTGAGGTGGTCTCAGATGGAGATGAGGAGCTTCCTGGGAATTGGGCAAAGGTCACTCTTGCTATGCTTTAGCAAAGAGACTGGCGGCATTTTGCCCCACCCTAGAGGTCTGTGGAACTTTGAGCTTTAGAGAGACGATCTGAAATTGGAACTTAAATTTAAAGGGGAAGCAGAGCATAAAAGTTTGGAAAATTTGCAGCCTAAAGATGTGATAGAAAAGAATTTTCTGGGGAGGAATTCAAGCTGGCTGCATAAATTTGCATAAGTAACAAGGAGCCCAATGTTAATAGCCAAGAGAATGGGGAAAATGTCTCCAGGGCACAGCAGAGACCTTCTCTGCAGCCCCTCCCATCACAGGCCAGGAGGCCTAGGAGAGAAAAATGGATTCATGGGCTGGGCCCAGGGCCCTGCTGCGCTGTGCAAGATCAGCCTTGGGACTTGGTGCCCTGCTTCCCAGCTGTAGCCAAAAGGGGCCAAGGTACAGCTTGGGCCATTGCTTCAGAGGGTATAAGCCCCAAGCCTTGGTGGCTTCCATGTGCTGTTGAGCCTGCAGGTGCACAGAAGACAACAATTTGGGAACCTCTGCCTAGATTTCAGAGGATGTATGGAAATGCCTCAGTGCCCAGGCAAAAGTCTGCTGAAGGGGGAGAACCCTCTTAGAGAACCTCTGCTAGGACAGTGCAGAAGGGAAATGTGGGGTTGCTGCCCCCACACAGAGTTCCCGCTGGGGCACTGCCTAATGGAGCTGTGAAAGGAGGGCCACCATCCTCTACACCCCAGCATGGTAGATCCACCAACAGCTTCCACTGTGCACCTGGAAAAGCTGCTGGCACTCAGTGCCAGTCCATGAGAATAGTGGTGGGGGTTGAACCCTGCAAAGCCACAGAGGCAGTGCTACCCAAGTTCTTGGGAGCCCACCCTTTGCATCAGTGTGACCTAGATGTGAGACATGGAGTCAAAGATCACTTTGGAGCTTTCAGTAATGACTGCCCTGCTGGGTTTGGACTTGCATGAGGCCTGTAAGCCCCTTTATTTTGGCCAATTTCTACCATTTGGAATGGGAACGTTTAACTAATGCCTGTACCCCCATTGTATCTTGGATGTAACTAACTTGTTTTTGATTTTACAGGTTCATAGGCGGAAGGGACTTCACTTGTCTCAGGTAAGACTTTGGACTTGGACTTTTGAGTTAAATGCTAGAATGAGTTAAGACTTTCGGAGACTGTTGGGAAGGAATGGTTGGTTTTGAAAAGTGAGGATATGAGATTTGGGAGGAGCAAGGGGCAGAATGATACGGTTGGTTCTGTGTCTCTACCCAAATCTCATCTCGAATTTTAATCCCCATGTGTCAAGGGAGAGCCTGGGTGGAGGCAATTGGATCATGGGGGCAGGTTCCCCCATGCTGTTCTTGTTATAGTGAATTCTTTTGAGATCTGATGGTTTTATAAGTGATTGGTAGTTCCTCCTGTGCTCATTCTCCTTCCTGCTGCCTATTGAAGAAGGTGCCTTGCTTTCCCTTTTCCTTCTGCCATGATTGTAAGTTTCTTGAGGCCTCCCCAGCCGTTTAGAACTGTGAGTCAATTACACCTCTTTCTTTTATAAATTACCCAGTCTTGGGTATTTCTTTATAGCAATATGAAAATGTACTGATACACCTTGTGTCTACTAAAAATTTTAAAAATCAGCTAGGCGTTGTGGCATGTCCCTGTAGTCCCAGCTACTCAGGAGGCTGAGGTGGGAGGATAGCTTGAGCCCAGGAGATTGAGGCTGCAGTGAACTATGATTGCACCACTACACTCCAGCCTGGAAAAATAAAATAAAAGTAAATTCATGAGAGGCAAGGTTGACTTTCAGAGAGTGTATGAGGGAAAGGTAAGGAACAAAATCGGAATTAGAAAATGACTGTTGCCCTTCTCTTTTCATACTTCACTGCCTTTCTGAGCACTTCTAACCTCACATTGGAAAACTGCTCTAAAGTACTTTTAAAGCAGAAAATAGTAGCTTGATTGAATAGATATTGTATTAAATGTATACTGTGTACTAGGCTCTGAGCTAAGAGCTTTATATATGCTCTCTAAATTAATCTCCACCTGTCTCCATGAGTGGGTATTATCAGAAAGATGTCACAAAGTAACACAAATGTTGAGATTTGAATCGAGATCTGTCTTCCAAAGTCCATGCTACTAATAAATTTTAGGCCACTTGGTGGTAAAAAGCGCCCCCTGTACTAATTAGCTATGTAATTTTAATCCTTCAACCCAGATTAGAGTTCTCTAACTGAATAACTAAAAAGTTATTCAGTTAGAATAGTTCAGTTAGTTATTATAACTAATCATAGTTATTTGGTCAAGTGCAGTGACTCACACCTGTAATTCCAGCACTTGGGGAGGCCATGGCAGGAGGATCACTTTTGCTCAGGATTTCTACTAATAATAACTATTACTAGAGACCTGATAATAATTATGAAGTCTCTTACTGAAGAACTTTTACTCTTCCATTAAGATGCCCTTATTCATAAGTATTGTAATAAAATACTGAACTCATATGAATTAATTACCCAGGTAGACTGAAAGACATAGGTTGTCATATAAAGCATGAGGAAGGATTGTCACTTTGTTTTCTTGTTACATGGTAATTGCCTGGGACATCATGAAAGTTCTTACTGGTTTAATGAATACGTAATGCTGCCAGGGAAAGAATGAAACTCAGACCAACTACTTTGACTGCTCCTGGCAAAGTCAACCTTCATTGTCATTGTAATATGGCTAGAGCGATACATGTTCATTAGAGAAGAATCAGAAAATATCTGCCAAAAGAAGGAATAAAACAAAACACCCCCACAATCCAATTCATTCCAGAATAACTACTTTTAACACCCTGGTTTATGTGCTTTCAAACTCTGTTCTCCCATGTGTAATATCAAAATGTCCTGAGGTGGGTTCGTTTTTTTTTTGACAATATTTATCCAAAAGTACCATTTCCAAAGTATGTTGAGGAACAAGAACTTAAAATAGACAGTGTTTGTATAAATATAAATTCCTTCCTTGCTATTGAAATCTTTTTCCTCTGACCAATCTTAGTTAAATGGAAGGAAATTGTTTTAAAACTACTTTTCAGGTCTGGAAAGATAGATATGAATATGGAAATTGACTTTCTTTGGGGGAAGGGAGGGACTGAAGATGGTTTTTATTTTCTCCTTTTTTCTTATTTATGTTTTCTGCAATGACAAGTATTTTGTAATAACAAAAGGAAACTTTTAAAATTATTCTTTCTCTAAAGTTTGCAATCTGCCTATAAATGGGTGATTAGAAGATAAAGATTATAATTATGGGGGTGTTATCATCTAATGTTACAGTTTTTCAGGAATATTCTTATAAATTTCTTGATATTTTTATTTTATAGATACCCTATATAAATCTTGTGAAGCATTTAACATCTGCCTGTCCAAATGTATATAGTATATCACGGTAAGTTTACAGTCCATACTGCAACTACCAAAATTATCCATTTTTAAATTTGTTGTTATTAAAAAATTTTTTTTGTAGTGATGGGGAGCTCACTATGTTGCCCAGGCTGGTCTTGAACTGCTGGCCTCAAGCGATCCTCCCACCTTCAGCTTCCCAAAGTGCTGGGATTGCAGACATAAGCATCCGGCCTAAAATTATTAATTATATTGCCTGTAAATTTCTATTCTAAATTGTAGATCTCTGCCTATTCAAAAAACAGGAATGTAATAAAGTTTGAGCTCAACGCAGAACACAATGAACATAGTTCAGTTTATCTTTGAATTTGTGGGTTCTCAAGGTCGTAGTTATAAAAATTATCTATTGATCTGTCATTTAGCAAGAACAGAATTCTGTATGTTTTTCCAAATTATAATGACCTTTTCAGATTCATGATTAATTTCTAGCAAGTATTTGGGCTGAATTTTCCATATCTGAGTCTACTAAATATATATGTATATAAAACTTACTTAGAAAATGAAGTCATGTGCATTTTTGCGTGTCCCAGGTTTCATCACACAACCCCGGACAGTAAAACACACAGTGGTGAAAAATACACCGATCCTTTCAAACTCGGTTGGAGAGACTTGAAAGGTCTGTATGAGGACATTAGAAAGGTGAGTTTTTTATTCTGCTGTGATGTAATGTTTTAGCTTACCAAAACTTACTAAAATTTTATTTTATTATTATAATAATTTTTTTTTTTTTGAGATGGAGTTTCACTGTGTTGCCCAGGCTTGAGTACAGTGGTACAATCTAAGCTCACTGCAACCCTTACCTCCAGGGTCCATGCAATTCTCCTGCCTCAGCCTCAGTAGCTGAGAGTATAGGCGTGCACCATCACGCCTGGGTAGTTTTTGTATTTTTAGTGGAGATGGGGATTTGCCATGTTGGCCAGGCTGGTCTTGAACGCCTGACCTCAGGTGACCTACCCGCCTTGGCCTTCCAAAGTGCTGGGATTACAAAAAAACAATGCAGGTTTTCAGATCTGTACAATGCAGTTTGCAGTCTTGATTCATGTATGGTCAAGTTTCAAATGTTTCTTGAGCAAGAACCACATGTGACCCAGTGCCAGGCAATATGTATTAATATCTATAAAGAGGTTATGGCAGGATTGTGAACCTGAAGAAAAAAAATGGTCCAGGTAGCTCATGCTTGTCCAGTGAGTTATCCCACCTTTCCTCTTAAAACCCACCACCTCCCAGTGACTCCAGCTGTCTCTTCCTTATCTAATTCTGAATGTCATTGCCAGTCTGCCCCAAATATGGCTTTCTTCATTCAACTCTTTTTCCTGAAAACTTTCACTTGTTCCCAACCTCACGTGGTTGGGCACGGTGGCTCGTGCCTGTAATCCCACCAATTTAGGAGGCCAAAGCAAGAGGATTGCTTAAGCCCAGGAATTTGAGGCTGCAGTGAGCCATGATCCCGCCATTGCACTCCAGCCTGAGTGACAGAGCAAGACATTTTTTCTGTCTTTAGAAAAAAATTGGCTGGGCACGGCGGCTCACACCTATAATCCTAGCACTTTGGGAGGCTGGGATCACTTGAGGTCAGGAGTTCAAGTGCCTGGCCAACATGGTGAAATTCTATCTCTACTAAAAATACAAAAATTAGCTGGGGGTGGTGGCATGCGCCTGTAATCCCAGCTACTTGGGAGGCTGAAGCAGGAGAATTGCTTGAACCCAGGAGGCGGAAACTCCATCTCTACTAAAAATACAAAAATTAGCTGGGGGTGGTGGCATGCGCCTGTAATCCCAGCTACTGGGGGGGGGGGCAGAAGCAGAAGAATTGCTTGAACCCAGGAAGTGGAGGTTGCAGTGAGTTGAGATCCCGCCACTGCACTCCAGCCTGGGTGACAGAGCGAGACTCCACCTCAAAAAATAAACAAATACATAAATAAATAAAAGAATAAAATGCTTCCCAGAAATGTCTGTATGCCCCCCCCCCCAGCTTGCTCACCCTATACAAGTCCCCACTTTTCTCCTTTCCTCCTCAAGTCCCCAGTACACTGACGACTGTCATATTCTGATGACAACACTTCCTGTTTCATAGACAGTAGGGGCTGTGGAAGAAGAACTCCTTCAGCTCCTGTTCTGTTGCAATTGGCCAGCTTGCCTGCGCCTTCTCTGGCGATTGCCTGCTCTCCTCCCACCCATGGAAGTCATGTCCCTTCCCTCTCTAGGGGCAGTCCCTTAGCCACTTCCCCAGTTCCTTAGGAACTTCCCCAGACATGGTCTCTCCCTCTGTCTACAAACTTTCATTGGCATGTTCTCTTCTATATCCATTGGGTGTTCAGTTTCTTCACCTGCATTTTTAAAAGGCCCATCCACTGACCCAGTGCTTCACTCCCTCCCTTCCGTCACAGAATCCCCTGCCTTCTGCCTCTCTCCAGTGCCTTCAGGTTCCCCCCACTATTGCACTGGGCCCCCCTTTCCAGCCTCTCCTCTGAAGCTGGTTTTGCTTGGGTCACTGATAGCTTCCCTGTGCTCAATCCAATGGATGTGTTACCAGCAGCAAATCTGTACAGGTTTGCAGCAACCTCAGTTCTTGCCTCCTCAGAAGAAAAAAATCGACTGAGGGGCCTAAGGCAGAAGGAGAGACTGGAGGCGAGTTTTAGAGCAGGAGAGAAAAGTGTAAAGCAGGAAGGGAAGGAAGTAAAGTACACTTGGAAGAGGGCCAAGCTGGTGACCTGAGAAATCAAGTGTGTGGTTTGAGGTTGGAATTTGGGTTTTAGATGTTGGCATACTTCCAGGGACTTGCATCCGGTCTCTCCGGATTCTTCTCTTGGGATGGGCTGCCCGCATGCGCAGTGACCCGCCAGTGTTTCTGAGGGGAGCATGCTCAGTGTGGGTACCGGAGTTTTGCGCATGCTCACTTGAGGCATTCTTCCCCTACCAGTCCCAGTGTTCCTAGAAGGACATATACCAGTTAAGCTCTGCCATTTTGCCTCTTAGTGTTGAGCCGACTCACCCAACTCCTGAGATCTTATTGGGAAGCTGATCACCAGTTTCAGGTTTTTCTATCGAGAGACTGCCGTCCCTTGGCATCAGCTGTTACCAATTAGTATTTTAGAGACACTTAACAACTGCCTGACCATCACCTGATGGTCACCTGACCTTCCTGTTGTGGGTGGGGGAGCCCCCTCCTGCCCTGCTCATACCTGACTAGCTGCCTACTGTAGCAGACGCTTCCTGGTTTTCTGACCATTGAGCACTATTGACTGTAAGTCCTCCTTGAAACGTGGTTCCCTTCACGCTGCACTTTCTTCCTCCTCCTTGTCCTGAGAATGTTCTTCAGTTTATCACCTCCACCTCGCTTCCTTTCATTCTGCCATTCCCTCGGGTTCCATGGGCCCCCTCCTCTCTCTATTCTTTATATACCCGTGTCCATGCTTATGTCTCCCAAATAATATCACTACTCCAGGTTGAATCACATCTCCCACACCCAGGTAGCTAACTGCTCACCGGGAACGCCATGGGGCGGCGGTGAGGGTCTCAGACTTAACTCAGCTGAGACTCTACTTTTCCCCCACGAGTTGTTTGTTCTGCTGTTTTCCTGTTGCTTGGAGAATCTGGGAAGAACCCAGGACTTGTCCGTCTCCTTGCCCTCCATGTGCTTCTAGTCTGCCCTTTGTCAGTCCCCACTGCCACAGGCCAGGCAATTCCATGCCCCTAGTCCTTTGGTTTGTGCTCTTCTCCTTCCTGTCTCAGCTTCCAAGGGGACGGCTTACCTGGGTGACAGCACCGCACCCATCACACTGTGTTGTGTCAAAGGCAGTGATTGTTTTACTTCTTCCCATCTAGACCCTGAGCTCCTTGTAGGCAAGGCTTGTCTTACCTTTTTGGCCTCTGTGTCTGTTACAGTGCCTGGCACTAAGTCGGTAATTTGCTGAATTAACGATGGGCCCACTTTGTTGTGTTCACCTGTGCTGGGCTGAGGGTTCATTGGCTCCCACTGCGTCCGGGGGATAAACTCTGACTTATTCAAGCATGTCCTGGAGTGGCAGATAACAAGCGACACGTACCTGTCAGCTGGAAGGCTCTCGCCCTCTTTGTGAGTCAGAACCCTGTTTAGGTTCTGATCCCACATTAAAGCCCATCTCCTCCATGAAATACTCGGTTTTTCTAGCCTGCACTGATCTCTTCCTTCCCTGAACTTTTAATGTGTTTAATGTATAGTATTGTTCATGCTACCACTGGATTCATCATTGATTGTTTCATATTTGCGAAATGTTTCTCTCTCCAGTTCAATTGTAGGCTCCTTATAATCAGACAGCCCATGCCTTATATGGGCTCTATGCACTTACATGGGCCTCTATGAACCCTCAAAATGTCTTTTGCCAAATAAAGGCCAAGCCACATGGACTGAGCCCTGCTTCTTCTGCTTGGCTGTGACCTTACTATCTTCCTGCCCCTCATAAACAGCTTTGCCCTGAGGAGTTTGAGGCTGCAGTGAGTTACGATCATGCCACTGCCCTGAGGCCTGGGTGACAGAGCAAGACCTTGTCTCTAAAAAATTAAAAAATTTAAACAACGTTGCCACCCTACCCAGAACACCGACACCCCCGACCTGCTTCACAGGCTCCGGACGGCCACTGGCTTCCACCTTCCCCATCTTTCTCCTCCCACCTCCATCTTTCAAGCTGCGAACCAGCCCCTGTTCCTTTCACTGTCTGGCTGTCGGTGAGCCCAGAGACCCTTAGCCACCTAGTGCTTTCTTCCCTCTCCTGCTGTCTCTTGGAGTCTTCTGGTGTCTGATGCTATCAGCAGGAGCAGGTGGCAGTATCTGTTCTAGCACTCAGGCCACTTGGGGCTGATCCAGGCGTTGTTTATGTTCTAGCCTGCAGGACAGCCAGGTGGATGGCCCTGCAGCGTGGGAGCCTTGCCCATGGAGTGTTGAATTTCTCAATTGAAATGAATACACTTAAATCAAACCAAAGTTTTGTAGTAGAAATCTTGGCCAGCCACGGTGGCTCATGCCTATAATCCCAACACTTTGGGAGGCTGAGGCGGGTGTATCACCTGACGTCAGGAGTTTGAGACCAGCCTGGCCAACATGTTGAAACCCTGTCTCTACTAAAAATACAAAAAATTAGGCATTGTGGTGGATAATCCCAGCTACTTGGGAGGCTGAGGCAGGAGAATCGCATGAACCCGGCAGGCGGAGGTTGCAGTGAACTGAGATCATGCCATTGTACTCCAGTCTGGGCAACAAGAGCGAAACTCCATCTCAAAAAAAAAAGAATCCTGATGGCTTTCTGTGCAGTTTTGATGCCATTGTGACACAGAGAAACTTTATTTCAGGAACTGCTTATATCAACATCAGAACTTAAGGAAATGTCTGAGTACTACTTTGATGGAAAAGGGAAAGCCTTTCGACCAATTATTGTGGCGCTAATGGCCCGAGCATGCAATATTCATCATAACAACTCCCGGTGAGCTCTTCTGTTCATTCCTTTTTTGTTTTTATATTTGGGAAGTCTTTCTTCCCAAGGTTACTGTTTCTTTCCCATTTAAGAATTAGCATATACCTGCTGGGCGCGGTGGCTCACGCCTATAATCCCAGCATTTTGGGAGGCTGAGGTGGGCAGATCATGAGATCAGGAGTTTGAGACCAGCCTGGCCAACATGGTGAGATCCCACCTCTACTGAAAATACAAAAAAAAAAATTAGCCGGGCGTGGTGGCGGGTGCCTGTAATCCCAGCTACTTGGGAGGCTGAGACAGGAGAATCGTTTGAACCTGGGAGGCAGAGGTTGCAGTGAGCCGAGATCACACCATTACTCTCCAGCCTGGGCGACAGAGTGAGAGACTCTTGTCTTAAAAAAAAAAAAGTAACATGTACCTAAAAATTCACTTTGTGATGTTTAGATTCTGACTTTAAGTCACTAAAGTCACTCTGGAATCTAGTCTGGCATCTTTTTTTTAAAAGATCTTTTAATGTTCATGGAAGAAAAACTTTAACTGCAAATTAACATTTTTTAAAAATTTCAGAGCCAAATTTGGTTTTCTTGTTAGGAAGCAAACAATGTAATACTAGGACAGGTGAATACATTTAATCATCATACACAGGGAACAAAGATTGATTGCTCTAAAGTGATAAGTGCACCATTATACTGGGCAACAAACGTACACACTGGGGTGGCAGCCTTCTGTGACCTTCTGAATTGCACAGAAGCGAAATCATCTTTAAAGAAGACATTTTGAGCCTGGATGAGGTGGCTTATACCTGTAATCTCAGCACTTTGGGAGGCCATGGCAGGAGGATCGCTTGAGCCCAGGAGTTTAAGACCAGCCTGAGCATCACAGCAAGACCCTGTCTCTACGAAAATTTTAAATTAGCCAGGCATGGTGACATATGCCTATAGTCCCAGCTACTCGGGAGGCTGAGGCAGGAGGATTGCTTGCGTGCAGGAGTTGGAGGCTGCAGTGAGCCGTGCTTGCACCAGTACACTCCAGCCTGGGTGACAGAGCAAGACGCTGTCTCCAAAAAGAAAGACTTTTTTTGGCTATTGGTCCTCAACTCTTACATTTTGAATATACATAAAAGTTGTAAATATTTTAAAAACCTGCAATGTTTCAATGTAAAGGAAATCTTAAAAGGTAAAAGTCTTTCCCTCGTATCTCGCCTAGCAATCGCCTCCTTCTCTCTTCCCGTCCATTCTGTATTTGGTCATTCAAGACATTAACATATAATTTTGTGTTCAGCTTTGTTTACTTACCATTGTATTTTAAACTCTTTCGCACATTGCTGAAATGTCTTTGTTATTAGGCCAGGTGTGGTGGCTCACACCTGTAGTCCCAGCACTTTGGGAGGCCAAGGCCAAGATCACTTGAGGTCAGAAGTTCAAGACCAGTCTGGCCAACGTGGTGAAACCCGTCTCTACTAAAAATACAAACATTAGCTGGGCGTGATAGTGCATGCCTGTAATCCCAGCTACTCGGGAGGCTGAGGCAGAAGAATTGCTTGAACCTGGGAGGCGGAGGTTGCAGTGAGCTGAGATTGCACCACTGCACTCTAGCCTGGGCAACAGAGCAAGACTCAAAAAAACAACAACAAGAAAAGTATAGGAGTTGATTCCTTCGCAGACAGAATCAGCCTCATCCTGGCATGGAGGGTGCTGAAGAAGGTGCACACACCACGGTCACAAGCCCTGCAGCCCTCTTGCTCTCACTGAGGTTCTTGTGCTTGACCTTGCACTCATGCATGAAATGATGACCATCTGCTCATCAAAATCTCCACCTTAGTGAGTGTCCCTTACCGTAGACTGTACTTCAAAGATCGATTTTAATAGTGATTACAGACATATCCAAAGTGCCGTCTCCTAGGTGAAAGACAAAACCATGTCCTTTGGTAGCAACCTTCTTGCCTAACAGCAGCAGCAGTGGCTGGCTCAGTGACGCAGAACACACACAGAAACCAGGAATGGTTCTAGAGCTGTTAGTGGCCTGACCTTTGGAATCACTGGAGCCAGTCAGTGCTAAATGACTGTTTTGTTACAGTCTTTCCAGGGATAAGCTGTGGTAATTTCCTTAGTTTTTATAGTGCTATAAAAGTTACCTCCTCTGAATACAGGATTGTTATCACACCTGGACTCTCAACCTGTTAATCTAATGTGAAAACTGTGTCTTACAATTTGACCCTCTAAACATCTAGTTCAGCTTTGAAAACTGGACTAATGTAATTCAATGCCATTGACTATTTGCAAAATTGGTATCAACAGATCTCAGTGCAGCACAATTTGGGTAGTCTGTTATCCTGATTGCTGGCAATGATATTCACTTCCTCGAGCTAAAAGAGTTTCACACAGGAATGGATGGTGCCAAGATCCAGGTGCCGTTGATAAGTGTCTTCAGTGAGGCTGCCGAGCAGGCTAGGTTTGGCTTGTCTGAGAAACATGCAGACACCATAACTGGGCTGCATTCATTGGGTGAAGCAATTTTATAGAAATCCATTTATCATAAAGCTTTTACTTTTTTTGAGACAGAGTCTCACCCAGACTGGAGTGCAGTGGTGCGATCTCAGCTCACTGCAGCCTCCACCTCCTGAGTTCAAGCAATTCTCCTGCCTCAGCCTCCTGAGTAGCTGTGATTATAGGCGTGTGCCACCACGACTGGCTAATTTTGTATTTTTAGTCGAGACGGGGTTTCACCATGTTGGCCAGGCTGGTCTCAAACTCCTGACCTCAGGTGATCTGCCCTCATCGGCCTCCCAAAGTGCTGAGATTACAGGCATGAGCCACTGTGCCTAGCCCATAAAGCTCTTTTTTGATCTGGGTTCTTTAATAAAATGAGCTTGCGTTTTGCTGAGCTCTGTTGCAAGTTAGGTTTTCCAGGAGGCAGACTCTGAGATGAAGTTTAAAGGACAGGATGTTTATTTGGGATTATCCCTTGGGATTACTGACACCTGAGCCCGGGGGGAGAGGAAACAGGACTGGGAAGCAGGAGAAGCTGAGCTGCAATCAACAGCCTGAAACGCCCTCTAGGGTGTGCAGGTAGAATGGCCCTTCATCTCTCAGTCCTCGGATGTGGGCTGCCTCCCGAAGGGGCACAGCCTATGGTGACAGGACGCTTTGTAGCTGAGGCAATCCTTGAAGAGGCTAAGGAATGAAGGCCAACAGGTACCAACTATACCTGGTACAGCAGCTGGGGCAGAGTCGTGCACTGACGGAGGGTCTGGGGGCATGTCTCAGAATCCACCACAACTCTGTTTTCTGGACATGTCAAGTCTAAGTCATCTGTTGCGTGGACTCAGTCTCAAAAAAAAAAGTTTAAAATAATGAAATGTCTTAACAATTACATCATATAATCTATTGATGGAAATTCCAGTAGACTGTAATGTACTAATACATTTCCCTAGTGTTGAACATTTGTATTATATTTCCCCTTCTCAGTAGATATTTAAGGAATGCCTAAGATTTGTCAGTACTGAATTAAATGACACTGTAAGAATGAGTGTCAGATATTGCTTCTTAGTGGCTGCTCACCTCTGCCCACAGCTTTCTCTGCCCTGCTGCTGGCCCTGCCTTGTCCAGCACATTGTCCATGCCCAGGGCTGGCTGCCACTTTAGCTGGGCCTTTCAAAGAGCTCATAGTGTATTTGTAGCAAGCAGTGAAATCTCTGGCATTGACCTTTAACCATCATCAGGATCACTTTCACTTTACCGGGAGGCAGAACAGCAAAAACGCTCCCTCTGAGCCAGACTTGAAATAACATCTCCTGTGGTCCAGAGCGGAGTTACTCAGCCTCGGGACTGTTCAGATTGTGGGCCACATTGTTCTTTGTTGGGGGTCAGTGGGGCTGCCGTGTGCATTACAGAATGTTCAGCAGCATCGCTGGCTCTGCTAGATGCCCCGGAGTTGGTAACTATCAGAAATGCCTCCAGGCACTGCCAAATGTCCCACGGTGCCAGACAGCACAGAATCACCCCTGGTTGAGAATCACTGGCCTAGAGAATGTGTTTATATTTTTAATTTCCCTCTTAATTCATAATACACTTCATTGCTCTCAGAAATAAACATGGGAAGGAAATTTTTTTTTAACTGCTTTAAGTACTATCACCCACTGTCCCCATAATTGGAAGTTTTTCGTTTTCTTTTTCTTTTCTTTTCTTTCTTTCTTTTTTTTTTTTTTGAGATGGCATCTCGCTCTGTCGCCCAGGCTGGAGTGCAGTTGCACAATCCCAGCTCATTGCAACTTCCACCTCCCGGGTTCAGGCAATTCTCTTGCCTCAGCCTTCCAAGTAGCTGGGATTACAGATGCACGCTACCACACCCAGCCAATTTTGTGTGTTTTAGTAGAGATAGGGTTTTGCCATGTTGGCCAGGCTGATCTCAAACACCTGGCCTCAGGTGATCCACCGGCCTTGGCCTCCCAAAGTGCTGGGATTACAGGTGTGAGCCACCCTGCCCGGCCAATTGGAAGTTTTTTCAGTCTGCCTTATGGAAATTGTATAAATTGTTAGTTGCAGGAAACATGGGAGAATATAACAAGCCATTGCTAGTTTAAATAGTGAGTTCACTGCTGCCCTCTCCAGGGGATGTCTGAACTGCAGCCTCATTCTCCCTGTGAGTGATTGGAGCAGGGCTTAGGAAAGTCACAGTGCAGAGACAATGTCCGGCATGGGGGCGAGTCACGGTTTTGGCGTGGGTTTGGGTGGTACAGTACCTTAGCAGTTCTGCTCTCCAGTACTTGCTTTCTGTGGACTCTTCTGGATCAGGCACTTAAAGGACTAAATATGTAGGTATTATCTCCATGCCACTTAAGAAGAAGGGACAAGGCTTCTGGAGAGCTGGGCCATTTGTGATTTTGCTTTTGCTGAGAAAGGCTTAGGAAAGTAGGAGGAAACGGCAGCTAAAGATTCAGGAGCAGCACCATCTATGTTCAGGGCCAGCAGAGGCCCCTCCAGCCTCAGTGGCCCCAGATTAATGAACCTGACAGGCTTGCTTGTTGGTGATGTCATAATTGAGGGGGACCATTTTAAACTTTTGACAATCAAAGTTTAATGGCTCCTAGGAGGCTTATCAGATACTGTGTCTTTTTTTTTGCTTCTGAGGTATGTGTTAAATTGGGGATTTTTTGCCAGGCGCAGTGGCTCACACCTGTAATCCCAGCACTTTGGGAGGCTGAGGCAGGCGGGTCACGAGGTCAGGAGATCAAGACCATCCTAGCTAACATGGTGAAACCCTGTCTCTACTAAAAATACAAAAAAATTAGCTGGGCATGGTGGCGGGTACCTGTAGTCCCAGCTACTCCGGAGGCTGAGGCAGGAGAATCGCTTGAACCCGGGAGGTGGAGGTTGCAGTGAGCCGAGGTCGTGCGATTGCACTCCAGCCTGACAACAGAGCGAGACTCCGTCTCAAAAAAACAAAAACAAAAACAAAACAAAACAAATGAGGGATTTTTAAAACAAAACTTTGGAAGGGATTTTAATAAACGATAGGTATATCTTAAGAAACAGCAAGAGGGAGAAACTACTACTTACTGATTTTTATATTTTCTTTTATTAAGCTTTTCAGTTGTCCATTAAATGTTCCCTGCTAGATTACAGGGAGTTGTTAACTTAAGATTCAGGGGAGTTGTGGGTTATCTGTAAACCACTTGACGTTGTATGCAGTATTTTGTGTATATTTGGATTTTTCTGGGGAAGGGTTTCTATGGCTTACAGTTTATTCTCAGAGGGAAGTAGGGCCCTGAAAAGCTCAGGACCCCGTGTTTGTTTTCTTTCTGAATCTTGCTAACCATGGTGTCTGGGTAGAGAAAGTAGGAATCCACACAATAGGTAATTCAGACTTGACATGTCCAGAAAACAGAGTTGATACCAATTTTGCAAATAGTCAATGGCATTGATTTACATTAGTCCAGTTTTCAAAGCTGAACTAGATGTTTAGAGGGTCAAATTATAAGACACAGTTTTCACATTAGATAACAGGTTGAGAGTCCAGGTTTGATAACAATCCTGTATTCAGAGGAGGTAACTTTTATAGCACTATAAAAACTAAGGAAATTACCACAGCTTATCCCTGGAAAGACTGTAACAAAATAGTCGTTTAGCACTGACTGGCTCCAGTGATTCCAAAGGTCAGGCCACTAACAGCTCTAGAACCATTCCTGGTTTCTGTGTGTGTTCTGCATCACTGAGCCAGCCACTGCTGCTGCTGTTAGGCAAGAAGGTTGCTACCAAAGGACATGGTTTTGTCTTTCACCTAGGAGACGGCACTTTGGATATGTCCGTAATCACTATTAAAACGGATCTTTGAAGTACAGTCTACGGTAAGGGACACTCACTAAGGTGGAGATTTTGATGAGCAGATGGTCATCATTTCATGCATGAGTGCAAGGTCAAGCACAAGAACCTCAGTGAGAGCAAGAGGGCTGCAGGGCTTGTGACCGTGGTGTGTGCACCTTCTTCAGCACCCTCCATGCCAGGATGAGGCTGATTCTGTCTGCGAAGGAATCAACTCCTATACTTTTCTTGTTGTTGTTTTTTTGAGTCTTGCTCTGTTGCCCAGGCTGGAGTGCAGTGGTGCAATCTCGGCTCTCTGCACCCTCCACCTCCCAGGTTCAAGCAATTCTTCTGCCTCAGCCTCCCGAGTAGCTGGGATTACAGGCATGCACCATCACTCCCAGCTAATGTTAGTATTTTTAGTAGAGACGGGGTTTCATCGTGTTGGCCAGACTGGTCTTGAACTCCTGACCTCAAGTGATCCGCCTGTCTCCCCTTCCCAAAGTGCTGGGATTACAGGCGTGAGCCACCGCGCCTGGGCACTCCTACACTTTCCTTGCCCATGCCCAATTTGAAAGAACTGAATGCTGGTTAGTCCATAGTACCCTGGACTCTGTAGAGAAAGCTCTGCGCAGAGCAACCTGGGTAAGTTGCAGATCCAGATATCGTCATGGGGTCTCCCTCCACGTATCCCAAGATTCAGAAGCTCTTGTAAGTGCTGCTTCAGTGGCAAGCAAATAAGCAAGAGCGTGGACCCCGCACCATTTATGATGCAACTTTGCAGACATCCATTATATCCACAGCTAAATCCGAAAATATTCAGGAGTTGCTGCTTTTAGATACCAATTATTTTCTCTTGACATTAAAATGCTAACAAATCTATGACTGTTATGATCAAGTTAAAACAATTCCCACTGAAGAGAGACAGATTTTACTCTGAGCCTTACATGTTTCTTTAAGTTTAGAAGGTGAATGGGCCGGGCGCGGTGGCTCAAGCCTGTAATCCCAGCACTTTGGGAGGCCGAGACGGGTGGATCACGAGGTCAGGAGATCGAGACCATCCTGGCTAACACGGTGAAACCCCGTCTCTATTAAGAAATACAAAAAAACTAGCCGGGCGGGGTGGCGGGCGCCTGTAGTCCCAGCTACTCGGGAGGCTGAGGCCGGAGAATGGCGTGAACCCGGGAGGCGGAGCTTGCAGTGAGCTGAGATCCGGCCACTGCACTCCAGCCTGGGCAACAGAGCAAGACTCCGTCTCAAAAAAAAAAAAAAAAAAAAAAAAAAGAAGGTGAATGAGCAGTGGCTGGGGAGGATGGCCTTGAAGGTGGAGCTCACAGGCTTCCTCCCTGCAGGGCCATTCCTTAAATTGGAGGCGCCCTTGATATGGATCCCTCCCTACACACTAGAGGTTTACTTGCAATTTAAGACTTCATATTTTACATTAATATGAACAGGGAAAATATATTTTGTAAAACTGCATGTAAATCTCGTAAAGCATTCACAGGTAGGGTCATTATATTATTCTATCTATTTTTAGGTATGTTTGAAACTCTTCATTATTAAAAAAAATTTTTTTTTGGCCGGGTGCAGTGGCTCACGTAATCCCAGCACTCTGGGAGGCCAAGGCAGGTGGATCATGTGAGGTCATGAGTTTGAGACCTGCCTTGCCAACATGGCAAAACCCCATCTCTACTAAAAATACAAAAATTAGCTGGGCATGGTGGCACACGCCTGTAATCTCAGCTACCTGGGAGTCTGAGGCAGAAGAATGACTAAAATTAAGGAGGCGGAGGTTGCAGTGACTCAAGATCGCGCCCCTGCGCTCTACCTAGCCTGGGGGAAAGAGCGAGACGCCATCTCAAAAAAATAATAATAATTTTTTAAATCTAATGAAGCGGGGAAGAAAAGTCCTGAGAGGCATGCTGAACCGTAGCATACTCTTGCAGGTGTGAAGTACAGAGGACGTAGCCAACTCTCAAGACCAAGGGCCTCGTTTTCCATGCTACCTTCCCTGTCACCTCTCCCAGATCCTGGGAAAATGTGACCACTATTTCACAGTAGGAAGTAGAAACGGTGCCCAGTTTTTTGAAGGCTTGATTCAGTTTGGCATTTTGGAGATGTCATCTTAAGGACAGTGTGAGGTTTTTCTGTAATCTGTGCATTTTGGTCATCTGTCCCACCCTCATGTTGTGGATAAGCAGTGGCAGCATTTTCCAGATTTAAGCTGACACACACTAAAGCCAACCTGTATAAAAAAATACACCAGGTAAAACTATGGAGCATCTGAAATACGATGTGTAGTCTATGTAGAGATTGTGTTACGTACCAGATAACATTCCAGTTTCATCCCGATTTCATCAGTCAACAATTTAGCCATGCAAAATGACATTTTTATTCTATTTTCTAAATTATTTATTATTATTTCTTTTGGAGACAGAGTCTCACTCTACCCCCAAGGCTGGTGCAGTCTCAGCTCACTGCAACCTCCACCTCCCAGGTTCAAGCGATTCTCCTGCCTTAGCCTCCCAAGTAGTTGGGATTACAGGCACCCACTACCATGCCCGGCTAATTTTTGTATTTTGAGTAGAGACGTGGTTTTGTCGTGTTGGCCAGGCTGGTCTCGAACTCCTGACCTCAGGTAATCCTCCCGCCTCAGCTTCCCAAAGAGCTGGGATTACAGGCATGAGCCACTGTGCCAGGCACAGAATGACGTTTTTAGATGGATATATAGTAGTCTATGAAATTTCAAAATATTTTAAGAAATCTTTGTTGTAATAATAGCTTCAGATTACCAAAACAACTCTAGTATCTTGGTGAGTGCTGCCAATTTCATTGCAGCTTCTCAGCAGGAGCCCCGTCTGCTGATGCAATTTATGATAATGGAAGTGGTGCCCAACTTCTGAATGTGTGAGAAAGGCTAGACCTTACCTGTTGTTTTAAGGTAAGGTCTACTACTAACTAGGAGGAGGTGTCTAATTTATTAGACTGAAATTCACTTGTAAAAATATTCTTAAAAATAGCCTTTATATTAATAAAAAAAAAAACTGTAAATGTCTATATCTTTTCCTGTGCATTCAGCTCAGAGAAGATAGGGCCTAGTACATTTACCTGAAAAATATTTAAGTATTCTAATGTAAAAACTGAATCTCACTGAGGGATTCAGGTGGCTTAAAAGTCACCTGAACCTCTATTTTCTCATTTACTGAAGTGGTTTATTGGGGTTTTTGGTTTTTTCTTTTTTTTTTTTTTTTTTTTTTTGAGACGGAGTCTCTGTCACCGAGGCTGGAGTGCAGTGCAGTGGCGTAATCTCGGCTCACTTCAACCTCCGCCTCCCAGCTCAAGTGATTCTGCTGCATCAGCCTCTCAAGTAGCTGGGATTACAGATGCGCACCACTAATGCCCAGCTAATCTTTGTATTTTAAGTAGAGACGGAATTTCGCCATGTTGTCTAGGCTGGTCTCGAACTTCTGACCTCAAGTGATCCGCCCGCCTCAGCCTTCCAGTGCTGGGATTACAGACAGGAGCCTGTAACTGTGCCTAGACTATGGAAGTGGTTTTTATATGCTAATTTGTCCCTACCCTCCACTGCTTTTGTTTTAATACTTCCCCCTTGGAAGAATCTGTTGTGATCTAGACATATTAAGAAGTTGTAACTGAAATATTAATAAAGAATGAGGCCAGGCGTGGTGGCTCACACCTGTGATCCCAGCACTTCGGGAAGCCGAGGTGGATGGATCACCTGACTTCAGGAATTCAAGACCAGCCTCGTCAACATGGTGAAACCCTGTCTCTACTAAAAATATAAACATTAGCTGGGTGTGGTGGTGTGCGCCTGTAATGCAAGCTACTCGGGAGGCTAAGGCAGGAGAATGGTTTGAACCCGGGAGGCGGAGGTTGTAGTGAGTCGAGATCATGCCATTGCACTCCAGCCTGGGCAATAAGAGCGAAACTCTATCTCAAAAAAAAAGAAAGTATGAGTAGCACTGTAGACACGATTTCCAGGCTGAGAGCAGTTGGAAGGGTCTAGGGTTTAGTTCCAAGGCTGCTGATAAGACGAGCCAGCATGGCATCATATTGTAAAATTATATGTAAAGCAAGATCGAAAGCTTTTCTCATGCTGATTTAGTGTCGATCGTTAAATTCCAGCACTTTTATGTAGTTATACTTCATTTTTCATTGCTTTCTGCCGGGTCTGAGGAATTGGAATGAGCATTACCTTGTGCAGATGTTCAGATTCGATTTTTAAATAAAAAGTCATATTTCAGAATCCCTCCACCTTCTTTCCCCTGTAAGATGTAACCTGATGATATTTGAAAATAAGCATTTGGAGTAAGTGCAACATTTGGTTAGTGCGTGTTTAAATCAGGCATATGTGTTAGGTTCCAAATGGTTATTTCCCCATTTGATTTTCTTGAAATTTAGTTTTTAAAAATTCCCATAGATGGCCGGGCGCAGTGGCTCACACCTGTAATCCCAGCACTTTGGGAGGCCGAAGCGGGCAGATCACAAGGTCAGGAGATCAAGACCATCCTGGCTAACACAGTGAAACCCTGCCCCTATTAAAAATACAAAAAATTAGCCAGGCGTGGTAGCGGGCACCTGTAGTCCCAGCTACTCGGGAGGCTGAGGCAGGAGAATGGCGTGAACCCGGGAGGCGGAGCTTGCAGTGAGCCAAGATCATGCCACTGCACTCCAGCCTGGGCGCCTGGGTGACAGAGCAAGACTCTGTCTCAAAAAATAAATAAATACATAAATAAATAATAAAAATAAAAATTCCCGTAGATGATGGTGGTAATAATGATTAAAATAAAATGGGGGACATTCCCTCTGAACTGTAAAATTCCTATCTGCATACTATCTTCTTGAGCCTACTTATTCTATAGTTTGTGTTAAATTTGGGAAATAAAAGTTTAAATTTCTAATGAGAAGGTTAAATGTGAGTTGGAAGAAAGTTTTACAAACATCTGTTGGTTACTGAGATTGTCATACTAAATGTTTAATTTAAGACATTACTACGCGGGCCGCGGTAATCCGTGGCCTGTAATTACGAGGCCTGTAATCCGCACTTTGGGAGGCCAAGGCGGGCGGATCACTTGAGGTCAGGAGTGCGAGACCAGCCCGGCCAACGTGGTGAAACCCCATCTCTACTAAAAATATAAAATTTAGCTGTGTGGGGTGGTGTGTACCTATAGTCCCAGCTACTCGTGGAGGCTGAGGTGGCAGAATCACTTGAACCTGGGAGGCGAAGGTTGTGGTGAGCCAGGATGGCACTACTGCGCTCCAGCCTCAGCAACAGAGCGAGACCCTGTCTCAAAAAAAAAAAAAAAAGACAGTATTAAAAGCTTTGAACATTGAGACAGTTGAGTCTTTAAAATACTTTTTTAAAATGCTTCTCGCCTCTCTTCCCTATCCACCCCAAAATTTAATTGTAAACTTACAAACTTAAACATCTGACCAAGAACACTGTCATACAGATGATTCTTTAGCCCAATAAGATCAGCCAGACTTCTGATCGTTTACTGCATTTTTGGTTAATTGTACAATTTCTACTTCTTTAATGCGGAATTCATAAAATGTAGTTGTGGCAGGGTTTCTCATACGTTTGTAAATGTATAGAAATGGCTCTATCGTGAAGCCAAAGTTTTTATACTGTTTCTCTTAGAGAAATAACATTCTTTATCCTAGATCCGATGTCCAGTTTTCACAAGCTGATTGCTGAGAAGGTTCTAGGCGGCGTCTGTTAAAAAAGCATTGCTTTCTGTTAATTAGACATGTGCAAGCCAGCCAGCGCACCATAGCCTTAATTGCAGAAATGATCCACACTGCTAGTCTGGTTCACGATGACGTTATTGACGATGCAAGTTCTCGAAGAGGAAAACACACAGTTAATAAGATCTGGGGTGAAAAGAAGGTATGGTTTTTTTGTTTTTTTTTTTAAATCTGTCTTACTGAATCACATGCTTTTTGGACCGCATTTGTTTCTCAGATTTGTCTCATTAAAAATACGTTTGCTCAAATGTAATATGGTCTTCTGATTTTCAAAGAAGTATTCATGTCTTGTCTATAATACAGATATTTGATAAATAAATAATAAAAAATACCATGGAAAAATAAACTTAGTATTTCTAATAGAATTCCTTTGGTTATGAGGAAAGGGATTTTCATGGGTATCCAAAAAGTGTATTTCATGAGGAATCAAACATTTTACTTTTGGGCTTAGATTACCCAGATTCAGTTTAATTTTTTAAACATTTGTTTGAGTGCATATAAATGTCAAAGCAAACAAAACTAAAAAAAAAAAAAAAGGAAAAAGAAACCTCAGAGATACTGTTCTACCATGAAAATTCTATCTTTTGAAATAGAAGTTCTGTAATTGGATTTAGTTCGTATATGTATATATTAAAGCATATTTCTGTATTATTAGCATTGGGAATATGAGAAACAGGGACTTTGGTTTAAGGATGCATAGATTCTGGGTTAAAGGATGAGAATAAAGTTGAACAGATGAGAATGAAAATGCACAGGCATCCATCACCATCACCACACACGTGCCTCCACTGAAGAGCAAACAAAAAGTTTGTGCAGGCCAGGCACAGTGGCTCACGCCTGTAATCCCAGCACTTTGGGAGGCTGAGGCGGGCGGATCACCTGAGGTCAGGAGTTTGAGACCAGCCTGGCCAACAGGGCGAAACCCTGTCACTACTAAAAAAACAAAAAAAATTAGCCAGCGTGCGCCTGTAATCCCAGCTACTCAGGAGGTTTAGGCAGGAGAATCACTTGAACCTGGGAGAAGGAGGTTGCAGTGAGCCGAGATTGCACCACTGCACTCCAGCCTGGGCAACAGAGTGAGACTCCATTTCAAAAAAAAAAAAAGGTGTGTGCAACTAGAACTACCCCACCTTCACCTCCTTTCACAGATTTATAGTATTCCTGGTTAATTCCTATTGTCCGTATTAAAAGAAGATATACACACACACACATACACACATATATATGTTTATTATTATCTTCACATGCTGATGTTATTTGAACATAAATGACTTTGTTTTGAAATGGAGTCCTGCAATTTCATTTATATGCCTTTTATTTCAAATTTTAGATGGAAAGGCTTTACGTCCTGTTGACTAAATTCTGTACATCAGAAGGTTGGCCGAAAAAGCAGATGGCGTTTTGATTTGGAGAGGACGTGGGTAACTCTGTGACCCGTCCCTGCAATCAGCTGTGTCTGTTTTCAGGCAGGGCCAGTCCTAAAGCCTTATTTGGAGCCTTGGGTGGGGGAAGAGGATCAAGAGAACAAATGATGGTCTCCGCCTTGGCTAGCCCCTGTGCGTCTGCCTCGGCCATTAGGGGCCTCTTTCTGAGGGCAGGCCAGGGACACATGTGCTGCTCTCACCTACCTCTTTCAGTTCTGACAGCCATCTGCTTAGCACAGGGCTACTTGCCAGTTCCTACCTGTTTCTGCCTCTGACCCACAAATGCTACGTTACCGGTACAAAAACCCACACACACTGTGCCCTCTCGGTGAGCCCTTGTTAGGCCTGGCCTGGGCTTCCTATCTCTTCTTTCCTTTAACTCCCACCCCTGGCTGTCCACAGTCCTGTGGCTTCCATGTCATATGCTGGACCTTTTGGTCTCTAGGATCCCCCCAGCCAGGAGAAGAAAGAAGTAAAAAGCCAATGGATCCTGAGCCCTGAGCTGCTAATGATGTAGGGGCTGGGTGGGAGAATATAAGTGGGTACCTATATATCATAATTTGTAAAATGACTTTATAAGCATATACTTACATCAGGATCTCTTACATAATATGTATATTACATAAAGTGGTGATTAATTGGTAAACACACTGAACATCACTATTTTAGATACCAGAGAACTAAGATGATAAGTACCTAAAATAGGTGTGTTGAAAATTCTGTGAACTCTAGCCTTTATGACTAATTACTACAGAATATAACACTTAACGGCCGGGCGTGGTGGCTCATGCCTGGAATCCTAGCACTTTGGGAATCCTAGCACTTTGGGAGGCTGAGGCAGTTGGATTGCTTGAGGCCAGGAGTTTGAGACCAGCCTGGCCAACATGGTGAAACCTCATCTCTAGTCGAAATACAAAAATTACCTGGGCGTGGTGGTATACGCCTATAGTCTCAGCTACTCATGAGGCTGAGGTGGAAGGATCGCTTGAACCCAGGAGGCAGAGTCCGCAGTGAGCTGAGATCGTGCCACTGTACTTCAGCCTGGGCAGCAGAGCAAGACTCTTTCTCAAAAAAAAAAAAAAATTGAATATAACATATATATCTTTAAATATGCAAATTAATATACATAGCACGTATTTCATTATAGCATATAATTCAACCATTTATGCAGTGATTTATAACTAGTTGCTAGTACAGTGTAGACATCCATCACAGTCTCAAGAAGACTGGAAAGATGTTGGTTGCTTAGTGTTCAATGGAAAAAAATGTTTCTGTGTGTCTGGGAGTGAGGGGCAGTGTCACATAGTACAAAAAGCATTTCACTTGGAGCCAAAATTCTTTGGTTTAATTTTCATTGAAAATAACATGTTTCGTGCCATGCTCTAGGGTGTGCTCAGTGCTAGCTGAGATGATTCCTAATCCGAACTCCCGCTCCACCCCACCCTCCCCGTTGACCTGGGAGTATAGAGACTAGAGCATCACTGACTGGTATGCAAGATGTGATGGTCGCAGCATGTACGGGTGTTGTACTCACACAAAAGGGAGGCATCTGACCAGACTTAGGGATCGGGGGTGACTTCTTAGAAGTGGCAACTGAACTAATTATGCAAATGAGTCCACTCAGTGAAGAAGGGGGCAGAACTTTTTGAGCAGAAGGAACAGTAAGTGGAAAGGCATAAGGGAAGAGTGAACATCCAGTGTAATGAAACTGAAGGCAGCTGCATTTTGGTGGGGCTGGTGGGTGAAACTGCTCTCCCTCTCCAGGCATTGATTTCTTCAACTGTCAACTGGGGAGATGGACATGGTCATCTCTGAGAGCCAGTCCAGTTCGAGCACTGTCCCAAATCTGTAACCGATTGTTACGAACTGGGAAGAGTGACATGGTCATCTCTGAGAGCCAATCCAGTTCAAACACTGTCCAAATCTGTAGCTGATTGTTACGGACTCCTGTTGAGGAAGAGGAAGGTAAAAACACCTGCATCCAAGATGAGCCCCCACTTCCACGGAGCTCCCTTCCAGTCAGGTTCATCGTTGGCTCTACTGCTCTGATAAATTTTTCTGAACGTTTTGTTTTCCCCCTGTCTTTTTCTAGGCTGTTCTTGCTGGAGATTTAATTCTTTCTGCAGCATCTATAGCTCTGGCACGAATTGGAAATACAACTGTTATATCTATTTTAACCCAAGTTATTGAAGATTTGGTGCGTGGTACGTTGATTGTGATTTTTCTTCTTTGTTATTCAGTCCTGGTGTGTAGCTAGGCAATGAAACCACCTCTCAAATGACTCTTTTCCTTCTTTATAGGTGAATTTCTTCAGCTTGGGTCAAAGGAAAATGAGAATGAAAGATTTGCACACTACCTTGAGAAGACCTTCAAGAAGACTGCCAGCCTGATAGCCAACAGTTGTAAAGCAGTATGTACGTTCTGTCTTTCTTCAAGTTAAAGCCTCATAGCTCTTTTTTGGGAGCTAATTCTCCTAGAAAATAATTCAGTGAAGAATCTTAAAATAGTATCCAAAAATCCCAAGAGGTTAAGGAGGAAAAGAATGACATCCCCAAACAGTAGAGGATTTCTGCTGTGTTTTCATTTTTGCTATCTTCTTTTGGTATGCAGGTGTTAACTTTTCATCTTTTCTTCCCAAGAACTGAATCAAAATAAGCTTTCCTGCACCTTCCCCAATCTAATTGCCAAACTGTGTATCATTTTGAACAATTTACCGTAATTTCTTTAATGATTGATGTCACACACACTCTTTCTGATACTTTACCTTTTAAAAATGAAGTGCTCTGTTCTTTAATATAATATTTACCCAGGAAAAGATATCTATTAGATTGTACTAGCATTCTATATACTTTTTTTTTTTTTTTTTTTTGGAGACAGAGTCTTGCTGTGTGGCCCAGGCTACAAAGCAGTGGTGTGATCTTGGCTCACTGCAACCTCCACCTCCCAGGTTCAGGCAATTGTCCTGCCTCAGCTTCCCTAGTAGCTGGGATCACAGGTGTGCACCATCACGCCTGGCTAATTTTTGTATTTTTCCTAGGGTTGGGATTTTGCCATGTTGGCCGGGCTGGTCTCAAACTCCTGGCCTCGAGTGATCCACCTACCTTGGCCCCGCAGAGTGCTGGGATTATAGGCATGAGCCATCGCGCCTGGCCAATCCTTCTAATATTTTACATGAAATATAAACAAGTCCTATTTCTTCAGAGTACAAAGTGAGTATAAGCCATAACTGTTTCTCCCCTTGCTTTCTCCCTGGCCTTCCCTCCACTGTGCATACGCTTGTATACATTTTTTTTTTTAATGAGTAATTTCTTTAATCTGTAGACAAATATGTGGTATTCATTGTTAGTCCAAGAATGAGAAACAGTCTCTCCAAAGAATTGTTTCTCTGCCCATCTCTAAGCCTGACAGATACACAGAGATAAAACCTGGACAAATGACCTTCCCATGTGATTACAGCCACAAAATAAGGAAGACTTGTAAGGGTCACCTGTCAGTTGCTGCCATGATAGACTCCTAAGATAATTAACAGGTAAAGAGAGCTTTTGCTCAGACCTCTCAGGTGAAAAAGTCTCTTGCTGTTAGTGTCTCTGTTTTGAAAAGTGTCAAGAAATGTATAATTGCAAGCCAGAAACAAATGAGGACAATCTTTTCTTCCTAAAAAGACTTAATGGAAACTTTAAGGAATGTGAATTATGTAGAACATGCCAGCCACAGTCTCGACCACTTTTGTCTTTTTATTAAAAGGGCTATTATGTTTTTATTTCCAAGAAATTATGTGGGTCTTTTTTTTTTTTAAGTGAGATGGAAGAAAGTATAGACACAAGATACTAAATAAGAGAATAGCCTATTTTAAATGGGTGTTCTAACACTTTTACAGTAATCCTTTATATATTATCGTGCCCTTGATGGCCCAAATCTCCCTGAAGGTCAGGATCCATCCTCTTAACACATTAGGATGCCTTAATATTACTTATTAATATTTATCCTTAAGAGGATGTGTTAAGTGAGGCCCATTGATAATTTCACAAGTTTGAGACTGCAAACTTAGAAGCATTAGCGTGGCCAGGCGAGGTGGCTCACACCTGTAATCCCAGCATTTAGGGAGACTGAGGTGGAAGGTTTGCTTGAGACCAGAAGTTCAAGACCAACCTAGGCAACATAGCAAGATCCCCTCTCTACTTAAAAATAATATTTAAAAAATAAAGTCTTACAAGCATTAGTAGTAGTGAGACTGTTGGAATTGGAAACACCAAGACTTACTGTGTGCACCACGCAGACATCCCACAGGCACAGGGGGCGGCACCAAATTGGAGCTAGCACAGAAATTCACTCAGTGATGGAATCTTACAAATGGTCCAAAGAAATGGACCTGAGTCGTGATAGAGAGATTTCCTCATGCTCACTGTTCTCTGCTTAAGAAGCCAAAGATAATGCACAGGAATTCTTTTATGAAGATATGCAATTCATTCTTCAAAGATTAGCAACTGAACAGTGAACATGTTAACGTGGCTGGACCCTTATTAAAAATGAAATGTTTCCTGCTGCCCACTAGGGGGCATGCTGGCATCGTCCCAGCACTACCTCCTTTTCATGTGATTTATTCCTAAACTCCAGAGCTCTTAGAATAATAAAGCAAAATCATAGTGTGAGCTATTTGAATAAAAGTTTCTATATTTAAGTGCCTATGGGTGGAAATATTCCAGAGGTGTTATGGATTCAAAATGGCTATTTTTATGTACTCTTGGTATTTAAAATGCAAAGCCATGCGAGATCCACAGAAATGCACGCAAAGCAAATTAGACACACCAAAAAGAGGGGAGGAGGAGAACTGAAAGAGCAGAATTATTACAGAAGAAGAACTAACAGGATTGCAAAATGTATTGAGAATTGGAGGGAAACTTACCAACTGCATTCTACTAAGGATGCCATTTCTTCGTCTCCCCTCCTTTTTTTAGTGAAAATAATATTAACATCTAAGAGAGGGCTGTCTATGGGGATTGTTTTGTGATTGACTGATATTAAAATAGAATCCGTTTTAGGCCAGGCATGGTGGCTCACACCTGTAATCCCAACACTTAAGGAGGCCAGGGCGAGTGGATCACTTTAGTCCAGGATTTCGAGACCAGCCCGGTCAACATGGCAAAACCCCATCTCTACTAAAAATACAAAAATTAGCTGGGCGTGGTGGTGCACACCTGTGATCCCAGCTACTTGGGAAGCTGAGGCAGGAAAACCGCTTGAACCCGGGAGGTGGAGGTTGCAGTGAGCCAAAATCACTCCACTGCATTCCAGCCTGGGCAACAGAGCGAGACTCTCTCTCAAAAAAAAAAAAATAAAAAAAAAAGCAGAATTCTTGTTATTATCAAAAGATGACTTATTTATTTACATACATACTCATGCAAAATACATTTTGTAGCTTAGTGATGAAGACTGTGGCTTGTTCGCCAGAAAATCTGGTGGGAATGAGACCTGAGAGGTCAGGGGGTCTGTCCAGTTGTGCAGCCAGACAGCAGCTGAGCCGGGACTTGAGCTGAGTATGGTAATCCTGCCTTATCTGTCTCTCTCTCTCTTTTTTTTTTTTTTCCTGAATTTCTGTTCTCTCCAGGGCAGCTTGTGGCCTGGAATTAATGGGCTGTCTTCCTATTACTTGATTTTCAAAGCCTTCGGTACCACTACGGAATTGCATATTGTGGGTAACGTTAGCAGAACACTCTTTTTTATTTAATTCATTTTTTTGAGACAGAGTCTTGCTCTGTTGACCAGGCTGGAGCGCAGTGGCACAGTCTTACCTCACTGCAACCTCCACCTCCCAGGTTCAAGTGATCCTCCCACCTCAGCCTCTCGGGTAACTGGGATTACAGGCACCCACCACCACATGCCACACCTGGCCTCTTTTTTTACAATATTCGTATCTATCTGTAGGCCTCATTCAGATCTTGCCACTTGGGAACCGTTATAACAAAAGGGAAACCGTACTTTTCTGTTCCAGCATCCAGTCCGGGATCTCACGTTGCATTTAGGGGTCATGACTCTGTAGTCTCTTGTCACCTACAACAGTATTTCTTTGCCTCTCATTTACCTTGGTATTTGGAAGAGTGCAGGCCAGTTATGTTGTTGAGCCTCTCAGTGGGGCTTCTCTGATATTTCTCAAGATTCGATCCAGGTTATGAATGTTTGGCAAGAATACCACAAGAGCGGTGCCGTCCTCAGCTCCTCACACCAGGAGGCACGTACTGTCTCTCTGTCCTGCTACCGGTGATGTGTGCCTGGATCACTTGATTAGGATACTGTCGGGCCGGGCGCCGTGGCTCATGCCTGTAATCCCAGCACTTTGGGAGGCCGAGGTGGGCGGATCACCTGAGGTCAAGAGTTCAAGACCAGCCTGGCCAACATGGTAAAACCCTGTCTCTACTAAAAATACAAAAAATGAGCCGGGCATGGTGGCGGGCACCTGTAATCCCAGCACTTTGGGAGGCCGAGGCGGATGGATCACCTGAGGTCAAGAGTTCGAGACAAGCCTGGCCAACGTGGGTGAAACCCCTTCTCTACTAAAAATACAAAAATTAGCCGGGCATGGTGGCACATGCCTGTAGTCCCAGCTACTCAGGAGGCTGATGCAGGAGAATTGCTTGAACCCGGGAGGCGGAGGTTGCAGTGAGCTGAGATTGCACCATTGCACTCCGGCCTGGTCAACAAGAGTGAAACTCCATCTCAAAAAAAGAAAAAAAAAAGGATACCATCTGCCAGTTTCTTCAATCTAAAATTACTATTTTAACCTATTTTGGGTGAAGTATTTTCAGATTATGTAAAGATTATTCTGATGGTTGTCAAATGGCTGTTTTTCTATTTTCATCATTTCTTCTATATCACTCTTCTACAAGACAGCTGGTATTCTATTGTTTTTTTATTATTATTATTTCATTCTCAAAAGAATGAAGTGAAGTGTTGGTATTCCATTTAAGGAAGCTCTTAACTGTATGGGCTCTTGGATTCTTATTTTATTCTGTATCTTTTTTTTTTTTTTTTTTTGAGATAGGGTATCACTCTGTTGCCCATGCTGGAGTAGTGCAGTGGCGCAATCTCGGTTCACTGCAACCTCCACCTCCCGGGCTCAGGTGATCCTCCACCTCAGCCTCCCGAGTAGCTGGGATTACATGCGCCCACCCCCATACCCAGCTGACTTTTTGTATTTTTAGTAGAGATGGGGTTTTGCCATGTTGCCCAGGCTGGTCTCAAACTCCTGGCCTCAAGTGATCACCACCTTGGCCTCGCAAAGTGCTGGGATTACAGGCGTGAGTCACTACGCCCAGCCATCTTATTTTATTCTGTAGATTATAACACTGTCATTATTTATTTTAATACTCAATTATCCAACATATGGCCCATGGAGGAGGCCCTTTAATCTGGTTC